ATCTCTCTCTCTCTCTCTCTCTCTATCTATCTATCTATCTATCTCTCCCTATCTCTCTCTCTCTATCTATCTATCTATCTATCTATCTTTCTCTCTCTCTATCTATCTATCTATCTATCTATCTATCTATCTATCTATCTATCTATCTATCTATCTCTCTTTGTCTCTCTTTTCTCTCTCTCTCTCTCTCTCTCTCTCTCTCTCTCTCTTTCTCTCTCTCTCCCTCTCTTTCTCTCTCTCTCTCTTTCTCCCTCTCATTCTCTCCCATCTCGCTGCATCTGTCTCTCTCTTTCTCTCTTTCTTTCACAATCACTCTCCCTCCCCTTCTCTCGTCTCCTCGTTTGTCCCTGATTGTTTGAATGTGAAGCGTTAGCTTTACCGCAAGCGGACGCACAGAATAACAGGTTAACAGAATATGCCGCAGCACGGCGCGTGCTGCGCAGTAGATACAAACACTAGGACATATAATGCGCTATCATCGCGGCCAGGAATAACAACACCAGGCATAGTTAAATGGATACTTGACCCTAGGTTGCTTGCATATAGTTTACGGCTAATCGCTCATATAGAATCGTCTTTTTACGCCAGCGTTTGTCACCTCTAAGAAAATAAAAAGTGTCTTGCGATCGGATACCGACAGCTGCCGGCAGCAGATAAGCAGACGACGCGAACGTTCGTGATCGGCTGTGTAAGAAAACAGACGCCGGTATTAGGAGCAGTGTAGCAGCAACGGCAGCGATAGCAGCAGCAGCAGCAGCAGCAGCAGCAGCAGCAGCAGCAGTAGTAGTAGTAGTAGTAGTAGTAGTAGTAGTAGTAGTAGTAGTAGTGGTATAGTAGCCGCAGCAGCAGTAACATCAGCAACAACATCAGCAACAGCAGCTGTTGTTGTTATTACTGTTCTTACTGCTGCTGTTACCGCTGCTGCTGCTTGCAAGCAGAATGCTATAGACACGTGGTACTCGTTAGTGTTTTAGCGCCTTGCCTCACTGTTCATCTGATGATTTATTATCTTTTTTAATGCGCCATTGCGTGCGTTCCGCGGGGAATGTATTTTAATTGCGATGCAGCCATTATACGAGAATATAAAGAAGAAAGTCAAGAAGAAATTTGAAGCGCAAGAGGAAAAATAACGAGAAGAGAAAATAAAGACGCACGACGAAGATGAAGAATAAAATAAAATTAAAGAAGAGAAAATGACGTAGAGGACGAAGAAAAAGAATGAAAGAAAGAAGAAGAAAAAAAGGAAGAAGAAGAAGAAGAAGAAGAAGAAGAAGAAGAAGAGAAAAGCGAATTATAAGAAGAAGAAGAGGAGGAGAAACAGGACAAACATGAAAAGGAAATGTGACACAGACATGTTAGGTCATTCAATAATAGCTCCATGCTCATAAGACACCATTGCTGCATATACTAAACGTATTCACACTTCTTTACTGTATTTCACGCAAGAATGGCACCATTTCTGCCGCGCGTCGATCTTATCCTATTTTCCGACAATCATTACACAAGATGTTAGTGTCACTTCGCTAGCCCTCTTTCCTCGCACACGCACACGCTACACGTTCGCACGCACACACACACACACGCACGCACACACACACACACACACACACACGCGCTCACGCACACACGTCACACACACGC